TTCATCTGCTGTAATCCTTTAATTTCCCTAATTCATATTACGATGGTTGGGTTAAACCTGTTTGTTAAAGTAGTATTTATATTAGATTTAGAATGCGATTACACTTGTTTGACTTGTAAAATGATATCGAGTAGATGTGACTCTTTTTAGGTAAATTCATATAGAACTTACAATTTATTAAGTTGATGGATTTTCTACAAATTTATAAAAATGCTATAAAAAAAGTTTAAATTATATTAATTCATCATTTTATTGCAAATCTTGTGAGTAAAAACGATACTTAGACCAAAATCCATGTCTATGCAATTCTTGTTATTTTGATGATGGCTCAAGTAATTGTAGTAAATGTGATTCAAACTGTTACAAGTTCAATTACAATTCAACATAATGTACAGAATGCGATCCAAATAGTTTAAAAATTTTGAACACTCATACTAATACTTGTTAATGTTAACCAGGAACAACTTAAATAAATAAATCGATTACTTGTTCTAATGTTGTTACAAATTGCACATTTTGTAGTCTAATTAAATTACTCATTGATTCATAATATAAATGTATCGATGGAACTTATTTGTGAAACATTGATAGGATTTTAGATAATACAAGTCACACTTGTATTTGTATGCTGGATATTGTGAAGATATTATAAATAACTCTTAAATTGCTTTGGTATTTCTTCAAATTGTACAAAATGCGATTCAAGCCTGAACTTACCACTGAATAATTAAAATAGATGTGTTTGTAAATCAGACATTTTAATCTCATTACTTAATAATGTTAAGGTAAATTTTATAACCAATTTAAGTTTTGTGATTAAAGTTGAATAGTATGCTTAACTTGTGAATTAATGATTAGATATTTTGATAACGATACATCAAAATGTTATGCAAGGATGGCTATAAATATAGGTAGAACAGCTAATTAAAATTATTGGGGAGAAATTTATAAATTGAATTTTAATTCATTTCTTCTATCTCGTTAAAGTAATTATTGATAACAATAGTTTAACCAAAGTTTCCGTTGTTCATCCTACTGATAACCTTATTTGTATGCTTTGCTATAAGAAGTTCTAGAGGGGGTAATAATAAGAATGGTAAGGATCACTACCACCATTATAAAACCTAGTTCACAAGTGTTCTAAGAGATTTGAAGTAATCAGATATGCAAATTATACCTTAGAATTAAAAATGATCAAGCAGAATTATTAGAATAAATGATGCAAGTATTTGACCTATTATCTAGAGCTATGATGGTATGCATCCATCTCCAAATATGCTCAATCTGTATTTGGTATTGGGTGAAGAAGTAATGTTGTTAAAATTACTAAGGTAAGACGAATATATGTAACATAGAGACACTTGAGTGAACAAAGAAAGAGCATTAAATCAATGGGCTCAGAAAGAATGAATCTGTTTTAAGCGATTTTCGATGTTTAAGGATGTACATCATTACCTACTTTATGTAAAACTTGTCCAGTAGTAAGTTTAAGAGTTTAATTTGTTAATAATATCTTGCTAGATTAAATATTTTCCTCAAAAAGTAAAATGAAGGAAATAAACTTGTAAAATATCGTTCATCTGCTGTAATCCTTTAATTTCCCTAATTCATATTACGATGGTTGGGTTAAACCTGTTTGTTAAAGTAGGATTTATATTAGATTTAGAATGCGATTACACTTGTTTGACTTGTAAAATGATATCGAGTAGATGTGACTCTTTTTAGGTAAATTCATATAGAACTTACAATTTATTAAGTTGATGGATTTTCTACAAATTTATAAAAATGCTATAAAAAAAGTTTAAATTATATTAATTCATCATTTTATTGCAAATCTTGTGAGTAAAAACGATACTTAGACCAAAATCCATGTCTATGCAATTCTTGTTATTTTGATGATGGCTCAAGTAATTGTAGTAAATGTGATTCAAACTGTTACAAGTTCAATTACAATTCAACATAATGTACAGAATGCGATCCAAATAGTTTAAAAATTTTGAACACTCATACTAATACTTGTTAATGTTAACCAGGAACAACTTAAATAAATAAATCGATTACTTGTTCTAATGTTGTTACAAATTGCACATTTTGTAGTCTAATTAAATTACTCATTGATTCATAATATAAATGTATCGATGGAACTTATTTGTGAAACATTGATAGGATTTTAGATAATACAAGTCACACTTGTATTTGTATGCTGGATATTGTGAAGATATTATAAATAACTCTTAAATTGCTTTGGTATTTCTTCAAATTGTACAAAATGCGATTCAAGCCTGAACTTACCACTGAATAATTAAAATAGATGTGTTTGTAAATCAGACATTTTAATCTCATTACTTAATAATGTTAAGGTAAATTTTATAACCAATTTAAGTTTTGTGATTAAAGTTGAATAGTATGCTTAACTTGTGAATTAATGATTAGATATTTTGATAACGATACATCAAAATGTTATGCAAGGATGGCTATAATGAAAATTAACTAAAAAAATTCAAGCAAATGTTACTTATGTTACATTAATTTTCTTCGTACTATAAATCAAAATACATATTTAGTTTTTTAACTAATATCAAGATATTTGCATTCCAGGGTATTTTGATAATGGTTATTTAATAGGTGAAAGTATTTATCTGATTAAATTAGAATTATCAAATTCTTGCTACACTAGTTAGAATTAGACAGATTATTGCGTAGGTTGTGAAGATAATTAAAATAGATTAACATTAATCTATTATTCATTAATGTCCTTGTATTTCTAATTTTTATTAAGATATATGTAATAAATGTTGTACTCTATGAAAAGTTGTGAAAATAATCTGAAAAATTGTCTTAAATGTTGAAGTAAAAATAAATCCTCCTAATCAATTTTTTGAGAATGTGATTTTTATTGTTAATAATACTAACATTATGCAACAAATTGCCTAAAATAACAGATTGAAATTAATGTTTAGTAAAATCCACTTAATCTTATCTGATAAAATGATTGTGACTCGATAGCAATGCTTGTTTTAACATAATAAACTAGATCACTATATCTAAATTAGG